CCTTTTTCCCTTTTCATAGCAAAGTCTAATATTCTGGTTACACATCTTATCTATTTAATTATAGTATTGCTCTGTTTTCTAAAAATTATCTATTTCCCACCATGTTAAACCATCTGATTAATAATACAGTATCCCCTCTTATAAAGTCAAAACCATTATAGGTGTTGTCTCGGTTAACCAATAGTTTAATAATATACATAATTTTTTAGTTTAAGTCTAATATTAAAACATCAAATACTTCCTCTCTCTTACCAATAATATCTGTTATCTCATATTGGGCAAACAGAATTCTTATTTTCAACTAAGTAGAAACATCCTTGTTATATTTATCAATAAATTTTAGCCTATAGATATCTTAATTGCGTTTGCACTTAATATCCTTATATAAATAATGTCCTATTATTGCAGCATGTCAAACTTGCGACGTCATGCAATGTATTGTGACTTTTCCCCATTCCCGGCAGTGGGGTGGGCGCGGTTTTGATGCGACATCTGGCCCCTGGGCCAGCAGTTTCACATGCCTGAATTATTGCTTTCCCCCCCAACTTTAATTTCCCATCAATATTCAAGAAAACACTATTATTTATGATTTCCAAGTACCTTATGTTTAGGTGACCAAAAGTTTCCCTTATCTCAACTTCTCCCTTTTCCCCTGTTCATACCAAAGTCTAATAATCTAGTTACACATCTTATCTATTTAATTATAATGTTACTCTATTTTCTAAAACGTTATCTATTTTCCACCATATTCAACCATCTAATTAGTGATATAATATCCCCTCTAATAAGTCAAAGCTATTATTTTCTTCAGCCTTACTCTGGCTTTCTTCCTTTGCCAGCTAACCTTCCATGTCAGTGCCTTTGAATCATCAAATAGTTCTCCCTCTATTTTTATATACATATTATTTGGAATAAGAAAGACCATTTGGTTGGGGTTTTTGGGAAGGACGAGTCCATTGGTATTCATTAAATCGCCTCCCTATTACTCCAATTTCCCACAATTGTCCTGATAGGTTTATCTTCCATTCAATCTGTTTTTCCTTTTCCTCAAATATATTCGGATTTCTTAATTTGTAAAAAGTCTTTTCCATTTTCCATGTTGTCACTCCCTTTTCTGATTTTTCAATTGGCTGGGTCTGTTGGTCAGATGGGTCCTCTGTCTTAGTTGTTCCAATTTTCCTTTTGTTTTCTGCGTTGTTAGTTTTTTGTTTGTAGTCAAGATCTGGGTTTGTATGTTTAAGCTAGCACCTTTGTGTTGCTTCTTATTTTGTCACAAGCTGAAAGGATGGTTTCGTGTATTGATTTCAACATGGAAAGGATTTTTTTCCTGATCTTCATCCATATTCTCTTGATAGTATGTTAAGTTGAACACTTTAAAATCGAATGTTAAAAATATTTTTTTATCTTTTGTAGCTGGGTATAGGACATCTATTTCACGTTTTATAGGTGGTCTTTATAGTAGAAATTGTTTATCAAGTAAGAGTTTATAATCCAAGGTGTTCCATCATCTCGTGTAATAACATAATGCTTCTCATGCAGGGAAATAGGAAAGCAATTCCCCGAATATAGCTCTGAAAGTCAGTAAAAGTTTACATTCATAGTTCAAGTAGGCCAGATAAGCCGCCCAGAAATCCCTTCTTTGCAGCTGGGTTTTTGAAAGGTGGTAACTGTCAAGGTCAAACAAATTTTATCTGAAGTCTGAGCTTCGAGCCAAGTCTCTTTTAGGCAATAACAAATTGTAATACCATAATTTGCCACAAGATGTCACCAACACCGTTTTAAGCTTTTTAAGTCCAAAACTTATATGGTGGTTTTTCAAGTCTTATTTTAAAAACAAAAACAAAAAACCAAAAGTCTCCAATAAGAAAAAGAACAATTTTAATCCCGAAGTTTCAAAAGAATATAAATCCAATTAGATTAAAATCAATCTTATAGTTGCTCTGTTTTCCCTGTGTAGTTAGTTGCCGCTTTTCTTAGAGGGTGGGGTAAAAATTCCCTTCCGTCTCTCCTCACAGGGGGAAAAATGCTTTGGGCAGCTTTTACAGGAAAGAAATCTTAGAATCTTAAAGAGAGGATCAGGTCTCACCCAGTTTCATCTGATTTGCTTGAAAGTTGCTTGGTGGTAATTTTGACTTTGGCTGTCAGCCACTTAGTGACCAGCCATATTAATATGGCGGATCATTCCCCTGCCGGTTTGGAGGGCTTCCCCAGATAAAACAGAAGGGCCGCTGCCCTCCCGTGATCAAACGGGGGTCATCTCTAAGGAGCAACGTTTGACCCTTTCCAGGGTCCCCCAGCGGAGCGAATTCAGATGCGAAAGACGGAGCCCATCTTCCTGCGTCTGTGGCACTGCGATGCCAAGCCGGAAGTCTCAAAAGGAACTTTATTGAGAGACAGTGATAGCAGAAGAGTAAAGCAAAATCAATTATTTTCCTGTGTGAAACGTAACATTAAAGCATCCCCTTCACACCCACCTCAATGGTCAAATGTCTAGCTTGATTTCATCCAATTCTCAGTTGCGAAGTTGTTATGGGAACCGAGTTGATAAGTGCAGTTGTCAGGGACTGTTCTCAGCGTTTTGTTTCCCTCTCGGCCTCCTCCCATCAGAGTGGAGATAAGACAGTTGGCCTAGGACACATTCCTTCTTCCGTTCACACCCAGAGGCATCAAAGGGGTGAAGAACAAAGTGGAGGAAACACAGACAGACCTCTCCCCTCCCAACAGAACCCAAAAGTAAAAGGGAATATAGAAGTTGAGGGTCTGACAGATAAACTATTTTGTATGTGTGTGTACACTTTGTTAATTATATCTATTATTAATCTGAGCACACATCTTGTCACAGCATGTTTATGTATCCCATAGGGAAAAGGAAGTGTCACATATGTCCTTATTAGTATATATTTAATGGATATACTGTATGTTGTTAAATGGATGGATTTTGGGAATTCTGAATTGATGTAAAAGAAGTGTAAGCAGTGTCTGTAATATGTGGTCAAAAAAGTTAACATGGTGATCACAGTTGAAAAGTTAACAGTGACCATACAGTTTTCATGTGTTTTGGGTTAAATATAAAAACAAGGAAGAGCTTCAATTACATCATTGTGGCCTCCATCTTGACTTTTTAAAAACCATTTCCTGCAGACCCCCATTAAGCCACCATTTGGGATTTCCTAGAAGTTTGATTTTAAAGACCCTATTATATTTGAAGATTCATATCAATGATACAATATGCCGGTTGTATTCTCTGCTGTTGTAGAAGAGTAAAGACTAATAATGGTATGTCTTAGTTGACCATCTTCTATCAAATAGTATAAAAATAAGTTAGCTAAGCATAAGATTAAAATATTCTTTCTTACTCTTGCAGCATTTTGCACTTTTGCTTATTTATAATCAGTATATCTGAATTGAAAATTAAGTGTGTCTAATTCATATCATCTATCAGATATATGATGCAATTACATCTATTTCTTTCTTACAAATATTGCAGCTGATGGGCAGTTAATGGGAGAAATGTTTAAATTAAAGGAAACCCAAATAGAAAAAATAAAAACAGAATCCAATAAATAGAACAGGAGAAATATATATATATTTGTGTGGTTAATTTATATCCCTTAGATCAGGGGTGAGCAATTAACCTTTTCAAGGAACCATAAGAGAAACTGGGACTGTTGTGGAGGGCTGAACTTAATTCTGCCACCAGCGCTCATGAGTTGAGGGAGGAGGGAGTAAAGAGGGAGGGATCAAGCACAGAGCTTTGCCTCACCTGACCCTTGCTGCTCCTCTTCTGCTGTAGGCACAAAAAAGCTCCTTCTCTCACCAGCCAATTAAAGGAGCACACTCAGCTTCCTCTTCCACCCCTTGAAGTGCACTTATTTACATTTTACTTTCTAACTTTCAATTGATCTTATGCAGACCAGACAGGGACAGCCAAGAGCCAGATGTGACCTGGGTGCCATAAAATGCCCAGGTTTGCCTTAAATAAAATAATAACATCAACAACAATAATGCCACAACATTTATTCATGCATATCTGTCTATCTATCATGACTGCTAGGCTTCCCCATCTTCTCTACTTAATAGCAAAAAGGTAAGGACCAGCATCTCCAGATAATTCTATGAAATATTCATTTTCATATTAAATAAGCATAATAGTAAAGACAACAGTTTATTAAGTCTAAATAGCACACAGATTTTCTATATTTTCTCTGATTGTGATCTCTTGAATGCTTTTCTCATCACAAAGCTTGTCCTAAATTTTTCCAATTTTATTCATTATTAATGTTCAAGAAATTCTTAACATTACACCACTTCAGTTACATCATAATCAGAGGTATTCAGTGTGGACATTTTTTTGGCATGTGTTGTAATCTATATTGTAGGAGGAAAAATGTGACAGCCTATATTAGCCACAAATCAGAAAGAATATAGCTGTAATGTTAAATACTAACACATTTTATTAAAAGACATAAACTCACAAAAGTTTATGCCTTTTTAAAATGTTAGTTTGAGATAGTGCTATGAGATGCTTTTTGATTATAGTCTACATCAGTTTCATGTGATCATTCTCTGTGACTTCTAGAGTCTCCTTTGACAACCATTGTGAAAAAGGGTGCATAATTTTTTACAATTTTCATGCAAAAGAAAAATTAAAATTGTCTTCAAAGACTTTTTCTTTAAACCAAGAAAAGCTCAATCTACTTTAACACTCAGTCTCCTCCCCAAAAGGCATCAGTGAGGTTCCTAGGTGTCAAAAGTTGCCCATCACTGGTTTATATTAATTTATCTCAAACATTTTCTATAAATCACTCAGTATAGGCTACATTGGTTTCTGCAAGATAATAAGTAATTATAGAGTTCCTGCTGTGTAGCAGCTTTATCATAATTTCCTTTTCATAATTAATAATTCCCTTTCATAAGTTATCACCAGCAAGTATCTGAAAACTGTGCCATGCTTCATTCTGAAATTATATTTATATAATTCTTTTTTTTCCTACATGCAGTTGCTTGTATTCACCCCACGGAGCTTATGCTCAAAGCAAACTTGCCCTTGTCTTATTCAGCTATCGACTGCAACATCTCCTGACATTAGAAGGGAGCCATGTGATGGTTAATGTTGTAGATCCTGGAGTAGTGAATACGGATCTCTATCAGCATGTCTGTTGGACAGCGAAAATTGTCAAGTGGATGACAAGTTGGCTTCTCCTAAAGGTACTTGGAAAACCTTTAATGGTTTTAACCTTTAACTCTGATTTTTTTGTACATTATTGAGTATATTTTCTCTGATCTCTAGAATCTAGTGTACTTTTTACACCCCTCCCCTATTTTTCTTGGTGTTTTCTTGTGCTGTCAGTGTGAAAATATATGTCCCTAAGAAGTTAAATCCAACACAATGAGGATCTATTGGAGATCCACAGATCACAACAAATCTCCAATTAATTGCATTCATCCTCAGCAGCTCAGATGTATTCCACACACACTGCTGTAGTAACTCAACTATGCAAGGCACAGTTATAACATGGCTAGCCAGCTTTGCCTCCACTTTTGTAGCTCTGAGATTCTTATAGCATCCTTTTCTTTAACTATGGATTTTTTAAATAAAGACTATTTAGACCCAGTGCAATATTTTCAAACAAGTGCAACTAAAACTCAACACAGATTGTCAGCATCATTATACCTGAGCAAGACTATTTCCTGGGCTCAGTGCTAGAAAGGCTGTCCGGCACAATAGTTGCTATCAATTAATATTTAGGTGTCACCTTTGAATTTATATGCTATCCTGGGTTTAAAATAGAAAAGTCTCAGAAACCTTTGTAATTAGACCTTCATCTTCAATAATGTGAGTGGCAGACAAGTGGGATGGCTGAGATGACCTAGAGGGTTTGTGCTACCAGGAAAGCATCTGACATAACCTCTGTCTTCATGTTCAACAATTCTTCAGTCAAGATTGTTGGAGCAAACACAAGGAATCTAAGGAGAAAGGATATGGTGAATGGTGTCAGTACATCTAGAAACACTCATTCCCTGATCAGCTAGTCTGGAAGACTGCAATTATTTTTAGTTCTTCTCTGCCCAGGTACAAATTTTGCAAACCAAAACTTGCCATATATTCTAGCAAAAGGAACTCCCATGATATAATAGTTAGCTGTTGGTGAACTAGGATTAAGGAGACTCAGGTTTGAATCCATCCTCACCATCTGGATGATTTTGGACTGTTCATTCGTCCTCTGTTTAATCTACTACACAGGGTTGCTTGTGGTAGAGGGAGGGCATATACATAAGTATACCATATGTAAAATCTAAAATAGAAGTCTAAACCTAAATACATAAATAAATCTTGCTGTTTGCATTAGTACACTATTTTCTTTAAATACTTCATGTGAATGTGCAATAATATCTTATATTTTATTATTATGTAAATATAATGCAATACTAATAATATTTAATTAGCTTAAGACTGTAACTTCTCATCATGGTGAAAGATGAATAGCAAAGTTGACCAAAGAATTTTGGTCAAAATCTTGTAGGTACATTTTAAAGCTACTCATTTTTTTTCCTTTTTTGCATTTCTGTCTTGCCCAATGAAAGGGTAGCTGTAATATACCCCTGTTGAGGTTTTAATTATAAGTCAGTTTCACCTTCTGTGGTTCTCCATAAGGGACATTTTGACAAATAAAGAATGTATCTTCTTGGAAATAGTATAAATTTGAGAATAAATATTTTGGCTTTTGATAGAAATGTATTTAAATAACATCATACAGAGAGCTTAATAATATTGCCTAATTACACTGTATACTGTATTTCTCAGGTGTATGCATATGTTTTTAAAAAGTGATTAGTAAATACAATAGAAATAGATTTTGTGGGGGAAAATCTTCTTTAAAAAACCAAATCCTGTTGCTTTCTGTATTTGCATTTGGAAACATTAAAAAAATAGTTTGTCTCACCTACTAACATTTCTTTTCTTTTGAAATATAAAAGATGTCATATGTCCTATCAAGTGATTGCAATTTTTGCCAGAATAAGCAATTTACCTATATGCCAGAATAAGCAATTGGTTTCATCAAAGGGGATGAAATTGTTATTAAAAATTGTGGTGGCTGCTGTTTATGCTATTTTCTGTACTCCCTCTGTCTTTATGTTTTCAGTGAAGTACCCACTATATTGACAGAATAAAACATAGGGTTGCAGGTCAACTAAATTAAATCTGCCATACCTGCCTACGTACTTTGTTCATTTTAAGCACTGTGTCCACCATGTAATAAGTGGGCACAAGATAAATGCTCATGTTGCCATGAAAATTGCTTCTGTAAGACAAAACGTAAATACAGTAGTAAATTTTATAACGTTTGATTTAGCTCCCTGAGAACAGTCTAGAATTTCCATCAGAAAAATACAGGATGAAAGAGATATTTTATCATGTAGGGAGGTCAATTGAAAAGAATTTGCGCCGAGAAATAAATGTTAGTATTGTGATGAGTGTTGTGATGAGAAAATGGAAGCTGCAGGAAATCTGTCCAACAAATTAAGTAACCATTTTCTTAGAGAAAACCTTCAGGAAATATTATTATTTATTATTATTATTATTATTTATTGAATTTATATACCGCCCTATCTCCCTTATGGGACTCAGGGCGGTGAACAGGCGATAATAAAAACCACGATAAATATACACAAGTTTCTGTTCTAAAATCAAATTAAATAACAGGCCTGCTCTAAAAGTACCCCAATGTTTTGGGGGTGATTTTGTATTAGTTTGATGCGGTCCGGCCGGCGTGTCTTATCTACCCGGAAGTCCCGAGCCGCTTTTTCCGCGTCCAGGCGTTGACATGCATCCAGCCCCCCATCCAGTAAGGTCTCCCGTCCTCGACGGTGTCTCTTCCGAGAGGGGGACCCCCAGCGGTCGGCCGTAACAGACCGGGATGGCATCCTAAGGAGGCCCTCTCTGTGGGAGCGGACTGGTCGAAGGAAGGTGTTTGGTAGGAGGCAGTCTTGCAAATACCTAGGTCCATTGCCACGGAGCGCTTTAAAGGTTGTTACTAACACCTTGAAGTGCACCCGGAAGGCCACAGGCAGCCAGTGCAGCTCGCGCAGGAGAGGTGTTACATGGGAGCATCTAGAGGCCCCCAGGATCCCCCGCGCGACCGCATTCTGAACTAGCTGGAGCCTCCAGGTGCACATCAAGGGGAGCCCCATGTAGAGAGCATTGCAATAGTCCAGGCGGGAAACAACGAGGGCTTGAGTGACCGTGTGTAGAGCGTCACGATCCAGAAAGGGGCGCAACTGGCGTATCAGGCGAACCTGATGAAAAGCCCCCCTGGCCACAGCTGTCATATGGTCGTCTAAAGACAGCTGGGTATCCAGGAGGACGCCCAGGTTGTGGGCCCTCTCCGCGGGGGCTAATGACTCGCCCCCGATAGCCAGGGATGGAGCCAACTGGCTATGTCGTGACGCCGGAAACCACAGCCACTCGGTCTTGGACGGGTTGAGTCGAAGCCTGTTCCTCCCCATCCAAATATGGATTGGATATGCAATATGCTGCTGTCTTGGAACAAAAGTACTTTGATGATAGGTGACAAAATTATGGGATTCCTCCAACTTTGTCTTCCAAGGTTCTTCATAAGTCTCCTATTGAGTTAACCAGTTCTCCTCACTCTGTGTTGGTTGTCTTCATGTCTGAAAATCTTCTCTTTTTCTTTCTTTTCCTCGTCTGTCCGTGTTGCTATATATTTTTGAAAGAATGTAAAATACAGATGAAACAAATAAATTGCAGATCATGAAATACTTTTATATGTGTGGATAGATAGGTGATAGACAGATCATCTGCATAAGGTTAAGAAGTACATTGTTATTGTGTTTACTTATGTTATGATTGTTTTTTTTTGATGGAAAATAATAAAATTTCTTTGGGAAAAAAAAAAAGAAATACCAAAGAATAAAGATACAAAATGCAAATGTAAAACTGTAAAATAAAACATAAGTTGAAAATATTGTGAAGGGAATTTTGATGATACATTCCTGCCTTCATTTTCTTCTTTTCCCCAAGCCATTACCACTTCTTAAATATTTATGCTATCTTTAAAATTTAATATTAAACATTGGAGTTTATTGCTTGTATCTGTATGTCATTCATTGTTGTTTTTAATTCATCTCTGGATTCTTTTCCTAGAAGCCGTGTCTCAAATGTAGAATCTGCCTTGCTATGTAATGTGTCAATTCCTGCTTAAATTAAATTATGAATATATATAGTGTCAGTTTTGCTACTACTGAACATTCACCAGATTTGTTCTCCCAGTTTTGTATCATTGGCAATTTCATTTTTTTAAATATTATGATAGGTTTCCAGATATGAAATACAGGACAATGAAATATCAGATAATTAATAATCATTAGTAGTTTGTGATATTATAAGGTATTTCATATACATTTTCTGATCAAGGTCCCCTGCTAAAAGGGCTTGGCTAAAACAACTGAAATCATTGAGAAAACTGAAGTGAATAAATAATATATTAAATCAATATCAAGTTAGGATATGACCTGCATAACCAAAATTTTGAATATGGCATGATTCCATGTATAAAATTGTAGTCCAAGAATTTAATTCTAGAAGAATTCTAGAAGAATTAAATTCTAGAGAATTAATTCTAGAAATAAATTCTATGTCAGTTTTACTTTTTTAATACAACATGTTTCTAGACATCAAGGTATTCTCCCAGATTCGGTTTGCTGTGCTTCCAAAGAGGAAATCAGTAATCATTTCCAATAAAAGCGATATAGAATCCTTGCAACCATTAACATATATAATGCTAATTTAATATATTCTGAAGAGATACAAGGGTTAGTGAAATTTAGTAAAGATACCTTGGATTGCAAAAATTGTTGTATTCTACATAGCAGCATTTTCCAGTATTGTTGGTGTTTACAACACTGCTATCATGCATTTTTTTTTCAATCCAACCTGTTTGCTACATTTACAACATTTTTGGAAGACAGACTTATTTTTGCTGGAGTGATTACCTAATAGTAAAACATCTTATGCCAATTTTGGGTATAATTTTGGCTCTTCATGCGGGCTTGCCCCCTCGTGGGGCTCCTGATTGGCCCTGCGCCCAGGCACCCCGCCCCTGAGAAAAGCGTGCCCAGGAAGTCCCTTTCCCGGGCTGGCCTCATCCGAAGCACACATGGCTGGGGAACCGCGCGGGCAGCCCTGG